TAGATAGATAGATAGATAGATAGATAGATAGATAGATAGATAGATAGATAGATAGATAGATAGATAGATAGATAGATAGATAGATAGATAGATAGTTGGAAGGTCTTTGTATTTAAATGTGAATAAATCTCAGTATTGTCTCCGTTCAATATCCGTGTGGGCTTCTGGCTTCGCACTGTGTTAAACAAGATTATGGGATGGACGGGATGGACGGGATGGGATGAGGAGCTTTCCCAGCCCAACCGCGACGAGAGCATAACGCCTATTTGTCGGCTCGGATGCAGCAGCATCCTCTCAAACGCATTGCTTCACTACAGTCATTTCTGTCTCAACCCGTAAAGGATGCCGTACCCTGCCGGAGCATTCATGCAGCCCAACAAGAAGCCGTGCGACATTTCTGCAGAAATAAGTATGAAGATGCACTGAACCACACTGTGATTTACACTGCATGGGACCAGCACTAGAAAGAAAGAGGGAGTCAAACTAAAAACTCTCTCATCCGACTGCTTCGTTTTCAACTTGATACCGAGGCATGGGAGTCGTCGGCTTGGATGCAGCTCCACACCGGCTTCAGAAGTTGGACAGGCAGAGATTTAATTGCCATGACTCTTGAATACGGACAGGACTTCCAACGCAGTGCAGACGGCGTGCAGCATTTTAGAGTCCTTAAGGTGGACTTCTCATTTTGTCTGAGTGTCTTTGGAGAGTGTTATCTGATCAACGTGTTGCATTTAAAATATAGGCATCTTTAATCTGTCTGAGGCATGGAGGAACATTGATCTCCGAAGTGTCCACGGGTGCTCCTTATTATTCACAGTAACGGAATGAAGACACTATCTTGATATGATGGATGATAGATCCAGTAAGCTCATTTTAGTTCCTATTTTAGCTGTCCTTTTTGTTATGATAGGTTATCAGTACATATGTCCCGCTGGCAGTAATTCATGCCACTTTAAGACTGAGGAGAAATTTAGAGGGGTGAGTCTACTTTCAACCCCTTATCAGGACAGCGATGATTTCTACAGAGATCAAGACCTGGAGGATGACAGCCCTCCGAAACTATCGTCGAAATTCAACTTCACTGAAAGAGACCTTGACAGACACGTGGAGTTCAACATCAAAGGGGACGACGTGATAGTGTTTTTGCACATCCAGAAGACCGGGGGGACGACTTTCGGGAGGCACTTGGTGAGGAATATTCGCTTGGAGCAGCCGTGCGACTGCAAGCCAGGGCAGAAGAAATGCACGTGCCACCGACCGGGGAAAGAAGAGTCCTGGCTCTTCTCCCGGTTCTCTACGGGCTGGAGCTGCGGACTGCATGCAGACTGGACCGAGCTTACGAACTGTGTCCCTGTCATTATGGATAAGAAGGAGGCCCGGAGGAATAAAAGGTAACGCGTGAGAGTCTCTTACAGAAATGCACCCAGTCCCCATAACCCTGGGGGATGCGAAACAATAATGCCCAATTAAACCATGTGACCATAAAACCCTTAATGAATTCAAAATGTAAGTTTTGCCTTTAAGGAAAATGCACTGCCTCTCTTGAGTGGAGAAGTAAGCGGGGATGGAATGGGCACAGGATGGGATGGGTAGGTCTACTCATTGCTATTTCCCTGGAGGGCTTATACAGTTGTCACATTAGGTACAGTATAGTGTACATGAACTTTTTAGGCATCCCCTGTAAGAGGTGAGACTGGAGATAGCTTCTGTAGCTCGCTGTAACAACATTCATATACTGTTTTTAAACCTCTAAAATATAAATCTACTGCAAACAGTTAACAGTTAATTGTGCTTAATTGTGCTTAACACCTATCCAAATAACTACTAATATAACTGCTAATATAATTCAAATAAATCTCCAGTGATACAACCTCCTGAAAATGAACAGAGAATTCTATAAAAGCCACTCTGAATCATTCTTTGCCCAACTTTTGTCCTTGAGGTGTTGATGAAGTTGTAAAAAGCTCATGCTCGAGTGCAACTCCTACATCAGGAGCTACTCACAATTCTCTGTGCACCCTTGGCCTTTATGTCTTGCGTTGATGAGTCCCTCTGAGGTGTTTTTTTTTTCTTTGTTGTTGTTGTTGGCACGCAAAAGCAGTGCGCCACTCCCGTACCACATGAAGTCTCCTCATTTGAAGCCATCTTTACTTCATGACTGAGTTCAAATTTTTCCAGGATGTTTGTTTGTTTGTTTGTTTGGTTCTGTGATGTCACCTCACAGGAAATGCGGAGAAGACCTGCTTCATTCAAAACCCATTATCCGTCAGCGTGTTGTGTGGTAATTGCAGTTAAAAAGACATTTGCAAATGCTTCTACTAATGTACAGTCTTGTACAATTACTAAAAGTGGGTGTGCTGCAATGAAGCATCCAGTAGATGAGCAATGCGTGTTTGAGTGTTTTTGCTTAGCAAAGTGGATATGTGTATATTTCCGTGCAGCTTCCAGAGTCACTGATTCTTTTAAAAAACTGCAGTAGAAGATACTCGTGCAAGTACTACAAACCGAAGGTTCCTTATCTGGTACATATATTTATATCTATATATATCTATCTCTATCTCTCTCTCTCTCTCTCTCTCTCTTGACTTGCTCTTTCTGATTATGACAAGCATGTCTAAAATACACGTCACTCTCTCTCTCTCTCTCTCTCTCTCTCTATATATAT